TTTCATGGTAGTCCATCTGAAACATTAATCTTCATTACTATATAAATTTCTAACATTCCTCCTCCATTTTATATAGTAAAAATTAGGCCTGGGCATAAATCGGGTTCAACCCGAAATATTCGTGGGTTCAACCCGTTTGACTCCAAAACGGGTTGGGTTCAAGCAGAAACGGGTAGAACCCGCATAAAAAAGCCACAATTTAATTTTGTCGGTTCGGGTTTCGGGTCCTCCATTTAAGTTTTGAATTTGACCCGAAACCCGAAATATATATAGGTTAGGGTTTCAGACATTCATTTCATTTGCGCCTCTCACGCCTCACCCCTCTCATTCTTCTCCACAAACTCTTTGTCTGTCTCTCACCCAAACACCATCTCTGCCTCACCTCTCTCACTCCACCCAAACACCACCTCTAGAGTCCAAGGTCTCTCTGTATCAAATTCTGCCTCTCACCCCTCTGAGTCTCTGACCCTCTCTGCCACTCCGGATCCGCCATTTCGCCTTTTTCGTGGGACTGCGACGCCGACTCCGACTCCGGCTCTTCGTGTTCTCGACTCACATGGTCTCACCGTCGACTCTCGATTACCAGTAAGTCTCATCTGAAATCTCACTTTTAGAGTTTTATCTACTCATACTCATAGTCCACTCATTCATTCACAAAGGAAACCCTATATCCGAGGCGATATCATTGGCTTCTTCGGTGACCGCCTCTAGCCATGAAAACCTTACATGAGTGACAGGTAGGTCCGAGAAGGCTTCGTCCTAGCTTTGTGCTGGGCTGACCCAATAGTTGTTTTCTTTATTTATATATATAATTTTAAAAAATAGTTTAAACAATTTTACCTAGTTTTGTGTTATCATTTTCTATTTTGGTTGAAGGAAAGGGTTTTTAGCTTAACAGGTATGAATCGCATGATTGGAAAATTATAAAAGCTATTTTCATTCTTTAAATTCAAAAAATGCGAATAGGACTTTATATTGGTAGGTCTAAAATCAATTGTCAAACTCGTCTAAGTCTATTTTAATAAAAATAACTTCAAAATAATTACGTTTTCAAATGTCTAATTAAGTCAAAAGATGAGTATAAGTTTTGGCATCATTAAATTAAAAAGGTGGAAAATTGATATGAATATTTTAAGGTTTTAATTTGATAGTGAGCCAAATGTAATTTGATAGACCCCCATAATTTTTATTGTAATTTTATAAGTTTAGAAAGAATCATATATATTACCAAAAGATCAATTAATCTAGGGTCTACAAGGATTTGATGGGAGATTAGTTGATAAATATTCTTTGAATAACAGTTTACTAATGTGCGTATGGGCTTACGGCGAGATGAGATGAGATGCTTTGACAATAGTTATATATGTTGTGCAACCGTGTGCACCATGTTGCAAAACAGCGTCGTTTTGACTAAAAACGCGCGTCCCATTTTTTTTTTAAAAAAAATCAGTTTCTATTCCCCTCAACAGCATTATGTTGTTCATTCATTGTGAATATTTAGTTCACTCATTCTGGATTCTGTGTTATTCATTCACTGTGGATTTATAGTTATGAATTTGTGGATATATAGTTATGAATTTGTGGATATATAGTTATAAATTTGTGTATATATAATTCAAATTATGCACAAAAAAAATGCTATTGTCGGGAATCAAACCTGTTTTTTTTTTTTTTTTTGTTTAAAGTGGGACGCGCGTTTTTAGTCAAAACGACGTCGTTTTTGCAACCGTGTGCACCATGTACCATACATGGTGCACACGGTTGCACAGCATAATTTGCGATGCTTTGAAGGGAAATATAAAACACTACTATGGTTCAAATCTTAGCTACTAAGAACACATTCCTTTTTAAAATCGGGAATGTAAATTAAATCAAAAGTCCGAATATCGGGGCATACCCCTGACTACAACTCCGTATGAGAGGTTCAAAATCCCAAGCCCAAGCACAGGACTAATTAAATAAATCCTATCTTGAACATGTAACAATTTAAAAGTCGACGACCCACCCAGATATGTAGAATTGTGATATATCAAGATATGCAACAAGATATATTATGTTTGCATCTGTCTTTTCAGATGTTTCTCCAAAATATTTATAAATGTAAATATGACTGTTGGAGAAGTTACATGGAAGTTTCTGTAGTTTTAAAAACTTAACTTCCATAAAATATATTTTAAATGATATATTTATCATAGGAGAATAGTAATTACATAAATCATGTTCAACATGAATATATATGTAATTATGAACCTTTGTAAGGTTAATTTGCAAGCTGATGCTACTACCATTGAAGCGGAAGCAATCTCTAAAGGACTTTCGTGGGCATGGGAGGCTGGAATTAGAGACATGGAAATTCAATCAGATGCTGAGAAGGTTATCAACTGGATTCTAGGAGATTCTGTGTTGAGGGGTCCTATATGTGAGCATATAGAGAATATCATAAATTGGCTCAAGGATAACTGGAAGATTTCTTTTCGGAATATAGTTCAAGAACAAAACGAGTGTGCTGATGCCCTAGCAAACTTGGCAGCGAATATGAACGTGGACTGGCGTGCTCTTGCATACTGTCCCCCGGGGCTGGAGGAGACTCTGTACAACGATCGGTTATTGCTTCTTGGGGTATCACCCCTCCTTATCGATTTAAAAAAAAAAATAAAAAAATTAAGGTTTGTCTAAGGTGGCTGGTTCAAATAACAATTTAATCACCCATTCGACTACTTACACCATCTATGTAATTATTGGAAATTTTTACCTTTTTACAATTCCAATGTACTTTATACCCCTTTTTTATGCAAATTATTCTGTGCAACCGTGTGCACCATACATGGTGCACACGGTTACAAAAACTAAAAACGCGCGTCGCACTTAAAAAAAAATAAATTTTAAGTTCGATTCCCGGCAATAGCATTTTTCATCTCCACACGGAGGATGGAGAAGAAGTTATCCTAGATACCTTCTTCTCATCTTCACACGGTGAGAGTGAGAAAAGAGGTAGTTCCAACTTCCAACTACCTCTTCTCTCTTTATTTAATTTTCCCCAATTTTTCTCCCCTTCTTCTAGCATAAATACTGGAGGGAAAAGATGAAAAATGCACATCTCCTTCTTTCACCATATCATTACTTCTTCTTGGCAGCTAAATCAGAAGCAACTGAAAATTGCAGTTACCACCGTTGCTGGAATAATCGAGGTACGTACATATTTTATGCAACTTTGTTTATAATTTTTCGCAACTAATAATAATAATAATAATAATAATAATAATAATAATAATAATAATAATTATTATTATTATTATTATTATTATTATTATTATTATTATAATAACAATATTATTATTATTATTATTACTATTTTTTTTTAATTATTATTATTACTACTACTACGTGTATTATTAGTATCTAGTGTAGTGTATGGCATGTCCTAGAATGTAGTGTAGTGTAGTTTAATGTATTATTATTATTATTATTATTATTATTATTATTATTGTTATTATTATTGCAATTGTTGTTGTTGTTGTTGTTGTTGTTATTGTTATTGTTATTGTTATTGTTATTGTTATTGTTATTGTTATTGTTATTGTTATTGTTATTGTTATTGTTATTGTTATTATTATTATTATTATTATTATTATTATTATTACCGTAGTATACCGTAGTAGTTATTATTATTTATTTTTTTTGAAAAGGAAGTGCAGTAGTTATTATTATTAATTATTATTGTTGTTGTTTGATGCATGTAGTACAAACATCAGTGTAATGTAGTGTTGTTATTATTATTATTACTTTTTATGTTGGGTAATATGGTTGAAAATCCCAAAATAATAATAATCCTACGGAAAGATTAATATTATATGGGAAAACAGAAAATTGGGAAGGAAAAGGTTGAGTGTTTGGGTAAAGGTTTAGCACGAGTTCGAACACGAAGTTCTTTTCCTTAAAACCTTATTTGCTACCTCCCACAAGTGCTAGGGGCGTTGTAGCCTAGGTTTCCCAGGATAAAACGTGCTACGATTCCTTGTTTAAGCACCTAAACAGGGAACCCGGCAAACAAAGCAAAGCTGGAACACTGGTTGGCTAAAAGAAGAGAGTAGAGGCAAAGTTTTGAGATGAAAAGCTACTGGAATTCCTTTTGTTTCTCACTGTCTCAAAAGCTACTGCTTCTACCTCTCTTTATATAGGGATGTTGGAGTGATAGCATTCAACATGGCCATTAAATTGGTGTTAAAACCAATTGTGTAACATCTGTAACGGTCACCACTAAGTAGGATTAAACTCAGAATTTAAAAATTGGAATTAAAACAGTATTAATTCCGTAACAGATGAGTTTAATCTTCTGCACTTTCGGGTTTCAGACCGTTGGGTTGCAGGTTCACACGAGAGCACACGGACAAGTTAGGCATAACTTAGCCCGCAAGGCCAGCCCATTTCCGGACGACATTCGTGCCCGCAGGTGCCGACGCACGCGAGCTCGGGCTTGATTTCAAGCCTTTTTGATGTCCTCTTGTAGAGAGATGGCGGCCAGAGGTACATGCCTTTCATTTTCCATTTGGTGAAGTGGGTATAACACTTCAAGACGTTGAAGTGTTATTTGGTTTGAAGGTTGATGGGCTTGCCGTCACTAGCAAAGACAAGCTTCCACCTAATGAATGTATTGCGGAATGTGGACAGGTTGTTGGGTTTTCGGCCTCCTATTGAAGTCGTTACGACGAGAAAAATATTTGCTACCGCGTTACTAGCAGTGCCTGATTTGAACGAGTGGCATACTGATGAAGAAGTAGAACAAGCTACACGTCGCCTTATTCTTCACTTGTTAGGAGGCCTTCTCTTTCCTGACACAATGAAGAATAAGGTGAAGCTATTTTTTTTAAATTTTTAAATACCTTTGAAGGCTGCAGTCAATAAGTTGGGCGTCTGCAATATTAGCGTATTTGTATAGGTCAATGTGTTGTGCAGCCGACTTTGAGTCATCTACAGCCTGCGAATGCCTCATATGATTACAGATATGGGCATGGGAAAGACTACCTATGGTGAGGCCCCAAGGAATATTGCCTTTGAATAATCTTGGTGATTTGCCATATGGGGGGAGGTTAGTTATAATATGTTAAATTTTGTATTTATTTTCGAGTTATAATAATGCAAATTTAGAGATTTTTTAGTATTTAATTTTTTTTTTTAAAGAATCAAAAACACGTCTCAGGACTAACCAGTGGGCACGTGTGTTACACGCGCCCACGGGGCGTTTCAGAGTCCGGGCGGCCACTCTGATTCATATAACATTATATTTTTTTTTTAAGTCTGTTTTTTCTTTGGCGGGATTCTGGCCGCCAAATTTGATTTGTTTTAATAAAATTATTTTATTTTAATGTTTTAGTTTATATAATTTGTTTTGTACCAATAATTATTATTTTAAATATTATATTTATTAATAGTTTAATTTTATAATATGATATGTAGTATATAATAGTTATTTGGAATGTAGGTGGTTTCGTTCACATGAATGGCCGACAGTAACGACACACGTGATCCGTGGATACAGAGACCAATTTGATCACTGTACAAATAAAAAAGTATGTGATATTGTTGGTGTGTATTTTTTTTGTAATTGTATATAACAAAATAGTCAACTAATTATGAATTTATTTTTGTTCGCAATGTTGACAGTTAGAATTTAGGCCGTATGACAACATCTTGCCATATCTTCCTGATTATTGTCGCGATTGAGCGGGGATGTGGACTTCACGGGTGCCACTAGTATTTTTTTATGTTATTGAGTTTCACTACCCCGATCGATTTTGCCGGCAGTTTAGGAGTGTGCAGGATGTCCCACAAGTTGTGCCATGTACGCGGGATTTACATACCATAGACGGTCGTTCGAGCAGAAATATTAGAGATTGGAGTGTGTATCATGGAGAATACATTGACTTGTGGAATAATAGACATAATCACTATGTCGCTATGTTCTCTCTCCAGCACATTGAGGTTACACATGCTTACAAAGTATGGTTTCACCGATATGGCAGACGCGTTATCGGTAACCCAGCTCATGATTCGCACACGGGTTATGCCGAATACGCAACCGAACTACACAAAATGGTATTATTATTATTATTATTATTATTATTATTATTATTATTATTATTGTTATTATTGTCATTATTGTCATTATTGTTCTTATTATTATTATTGTTGTTGTTGTTGTTGTTGTTGTTGTTGTTGTTGTCGTTGTTGTTGTCGTTGTCGTTGTCGTTGTCGTTGTCGTTGTCGTTGTCGTTGTCGTCGTTGTTGTTGTTGTTGTTGTTGTTGTTGTTGTTTTTGGAGGCATGTGTTTAAGAATATTTCGCTAGAGGCATGTGTTTAAGAATATTTCGCTAGAGGCGATGACCACTTTAGCTGATCCAATAATTGATCGAGATGCAACATTGACGCGTATCAATAACATGTCTCTGGATAATTTAGGTGACTATAATTTTATAGTCAATGTACCTGATGAGGATTACTATGTTGTTCGGCAAGTGAACACTGTGCAAGCTCGTCGTAGAGATAGAAGACGAGAACGTTGACAGATGAGGGGTGGTTTGGTGAGAGGTGGTCATGTAGGGCGTGGAAGTCATGCGATACTAGCAGCGGAAGGAGCACCAAATGATGACGGCCAAAATAATAATTTCTCATCAGGTAATATATATATATTATTTTAGTTATTAGATTATAGAATTATTAAGTCAGTGATCCTATATCCTAATACCCTATTCTGTCTATCGCAGCATTGCATAGCCGCCTCAACAGTCACTCGTCGCTGAACAACAATGCCAATCTGTAATCGTTCCATGAAAGACACAATCCGCTCCAGTCTCCAGTCTTGACTTCACATCTCCGCTCTCCAATCCTGACACGACATTTGTTGGAGGACAAGAACGAAGCAGAGAATGAAGTGCCAAAGGTGACAAGGGAGAAGATGAAGTAGAGGGCAGAAAAGTCTTTCAAATGTTGTTGTTAGAAAATAGTGTGTGGCTCAAAATCCTTCAGACCATGTCCACCCACGTCGCATGCGCGCATCAGCTCTTCTTGCACGTTCTCTCCGATCGCCTCGTTAATCCTCCTGCGTGCCTCATTTCTTTCTTAATTTCAATGTATAAATAGCTTAATGTTTGTCTTGTAATATGCACCTCAATTAAGAATTCATTCTTTCTTTATTCCTTTCTTCTTTTGTCCTCACGTATGAATTAATATATATATATATATATATATATATATATATATATATATATATATATTTATATTTTCCCATTTTAGTTATTCATTTGTCATTTTATACAATTTTCTTCAATTATATACTTTCCCTATTATTTAACTTCTATAATTCTCAATTTTTGATTCTTCGCTTTCGCATTATTCCGCTATATTCCTAACACGTGGTATCAGAGCGGTTTATTTGAGAATTATTTTCAAAGATGTCAACTGTTACTAAGTTCGATATCGAGAAGTTCGACGGGAAAATTAGCTTTTCTATCTGGAAGGTTCAGATGGAAGCCGTTCTAACCCAGAACGGTTTGAAGAAAGCGCTAGTTGGGAAGAAGAAGAAACCGGCTACAATGACAGATGAAACTTGGGAAGATTTGGATGACAAGGCACGTTCAACCATTCTTTTGTGCATGTCTAAAGAAGTTCTACGTGAGGTAGTAAGTGAGACGACTGCGTTAGATTTATGGTCCAAGCTGGATGCGTTTTACATGGCCAAAACTCTGGCGAATATGCTACGCCTGAAGGAGCGTCTGTACACAATCCGTATGACGGAAGGTACTTCTATCAAATCTCACTTGGATGAATTCAATTCTATTTTATTGGACTTGGAAAATATTGATGTCATAATTGAAGATGAGGATCGTGCTGTTTTATTGCTTGTTTCTCTCTCTAAATCATACAAGCATTTCAAAGAAATTATGTTGTATGGTAATAGTAGTGATACCCTTACTTTCGACAGTGTTAAGTCAAACCTATTATCCAAAGAAAAGTTTGACTTTGAAATTAAGTCTGAGGACAAAGGTGAAGGCTTGACTGTAAGGGGTCATTCACTTGAATCAGGGAGTAGCAATAAAAATTCTAGTTCCAAGTCCAAAGGACGTAAGTCCAACAAATCCTGTAAGTACTGCAAGAATCAGGGTCATGATGTGACTGAATGCTTCAAGTTGAAAAACAAGCAAGATAGAGAAAAGAAGTCCGCTGAAGCTAGTGTTGTTGAAAGTGATTCAGAAGGCGATGTTTTGTTATCTGTTAGCTCCGGTTGCAAACGGAGCGAAACCGAGTGGATTCTGGACTCTGGTTGTACAGTCTACATGTGTCCTCACAAAGACTGGTTCGTCTCTCTGGAACCGGTTGATGGTGATGTTGTCTTGTTGGGTAATGATACTCAATGCAAGGTTAGTGGAATCGGAAGTGTGCAGATTAAAACTCATGATAACTTTATCAGGACTCTTACCAATGTTCGATATATTCCTGATTTGAAACGCAATCTGATATCCTTGGGCACCTTGGAATCTCTGGGGTGCAAGTACATAGCTGAAGCTGGAGTTCTGAAAGTCATAAAAGGCTCTCTTGTTCTCATGAAAGCTTCTCGTTCTGGAAGTTTGTACGTCTTGCATGGCAGTACTGTGACAGGTTCAGTAGCGGTATCCTCATCGATGTCTGATGCGGATCTCACTCAATTGTGGCATATGCGTCTAGGGCATATGAGTGAGAAAGGCATGCATATCCTGAGCAAGAAAGGCCTCCTTGGTGGTTCAGGTACGGGTAAATTACAATTTTGTGAGCATTGTATTTTTGGGAAACAAAAGAGGGTTAGTTTCTCTACTGCTACACACCGTACCAAAGATGTATTGGAATATATACATTCCGATTTATGGGGACCGACTAAATTCCAGTCTATGGGAGGCTGTAGATATTTTATGTCTATTATTGATGACTTTTCTCGTAAAGTCTGGGTCTATTTCCTGAAACATAAAAATCAGGCATTTTCTGTTTTCAAGAAGTGGAAAATACTTGTTGAGACCCAGACAGGTAAAAGTCAAGAAGCTCAGGACAGACAATGGCTTGGAGTTCTGTGAGTCAGATTTCAATGACTTTTGTGTGGCAAATTGAATCGCCAGGCACAAGACCTTGCCTGGTAAACCCCAGCAGAATGGTGTTGCCGAACGTTTGAACAAGACTCTATTTGAACGAACTCGTTGTATGCTCTCTAATGCTGGGTTATGGAAACGGCGTGATTTTTGGGCCGAGGCCGTTTCTACTGCTTGCTATTTGATAAATAGATCTCCACATTCATCCCTTGATTTCAAAATTCCAAAGGAAGTTTGGTCAGGTAATCCTGTTGACTACTCTATCTTAAGAGTGTTTGGATATCCTGCTTATGCTCATTCTAGTACGGGTAAATTAAACCCGAGAGCTGTTAAATGCATTTTCCTTGGTTATGCTTCTGAGTCAAAAGGGTATCGTCTATGGTCTCCTGATTCTCGAAAAATCATTCTGAGTCGAGATATCACTTTTGATGAAAATGCACTACTTTCTTCTGGAAAAGTTCCCAGTACAGATGAGACGCAGAGTACTGGTGAGAAGGTGGAGTTTGAGTTCAGGCCTATTGACAGTATTACTACTACTGATGGTAATACTAAAGATGATGCATCTACTAGCACCGCACCTCTCGTCCAGCCACAACAAGAGTATTCCATTGCTATGGATCGTCCTAGGAGGACAATTAAAAAACCTGCTAGGTATGCTAGTGATGATGAAACCAATATGGTTGCTTATGCTCTTTCAGTCACACAGGAAGTTGATGGTGATTCATCCTGCTATTCTGAGGCTCTTCCTATTACTAAGTTCAAGCAGTGTTTGAGTTTAGTCGACTGTTCCAGTTGTTAATTCCATAATGGATTTGATCCAAGGTGGAGATTGTTAGAAAATAGTGTGTGGCTCAAAATCCTTCAGACCATGTCCACCCACGTCGCATGCGCGCATCAGCTCTTCTTGCATGTTCTCTCCGATCGCCTCGTTAATCCTCCTGCGTGCCGCATTTCTTTCTTAATTTCAATGTATAAATAGCTTAATGTTTGTCTTGTAATATGCACCTCAATTAAGAATTCATTCTTTCTTTCTTCCTATCTTCTTTTGTCCTCACGTATGAATTAATATATATATATATATATATATATATATATATATATATATATATTCTTTGTATTGTCTTTTTGAGACTATAATATATATATATATATATATATATATATATATATATATATATATATATATATATATATATATATTTATTTATTTATTTATTTTCCCATTTTAGTTATTCATTTGTCATTTTATACAATTTTCTTCAATTATATATTTTCCCTATTATTTAACTTCTATAATTCTCAATTTTTTATTCTTCGCTTCCGCATTATTCCGCTATATTCCTAACAGTTGTAGATATTTTTTACCAATTCAATGGAATAACTCCTCCCTCCTTTCTTTGTTCATCTCTCACCATTCATGTAATTATTTTCCATCATGGTATCAAAGCCATGACAAGGAAGCTATGCCGCTGTGGTCTCAGGTTCGCACAGCGCCGGCAAGTCCGGCCAAGGGACACATCCGGCAGGGAATCCGATGACACCTATCATTCGATCTCCAGTTCGCACAACACCGGCGATCAACCATCAAAGCAGCCTAACAATTTAAAAGCCGACGACCCACCCAGTTACGTAAACCAAAAAAATTCAAATGTCGTGCTATAATACAAACTAAACCCAATTTGAAAATCTTCACGGCATGCATTTAAAATGTCTAATTATCTAGGGGTGGTACGAGGTCCGTCCCCTTCGAGGGAGCACGGTGGTCCCAGCACTCACGCGCCCCGGGCGCCGTGACGCTGGCTGATGGGGAATTCAACTCACCGCGACCATCCGAGAGACGAGAAGAGGAAGAAAGAGGAGGAGGGGCGGGGCCGGAGTGACAAGGCACCTCAACCTCGAGTTAATAAATCCTATAAATAAATGAAATAATAAATGGATAGCCAAGGTAAAATAATGGCGAAATAAATATATATCGCGGAGACAATTTTGTATTGATTAGTGAATTAATAAGCCGATTACAACAGGTGTAAAGCTATTATAGTAGAAGATCAAGACAAGATAGAAGGTGTCCCCTTAATAGGACAAACACATCCCTATTTATACAAAATAACCCTAACTAACTTGCTAATTGCACTATGGGCCAAACGACTAAGTTAAGGCCCATGCGGTGGGCCGTAGGAATAAGTCCAAGCGCATGTGGTGGGCCGTGAGACTAAGTCAAGGCCCATCATTCTCGGCCCGTAGGCAGGCTCCGGGCTTGAGAGTCTTCTTGGGCTGCTCGTGTTATACATCCTGGACCCCGGGTCTCTATTATTGTTGGGCCATTTCCAATATATCCATCATCAGTCCCCCACTCTCTGAGTTGCGAGTTGTCGACAACGAGAGAGAGTAAATGTTTGGCCCAATTGAAACTGCTCGGGACTCCATGCTTGGATGAATGCTTCAGGGTCAACTTGAAAAAATATTTCGCTTATTCCA